TATCTAACTTGTCAGTTAATGAAGGAGCTGTCTTGTGCCGCCGGTAGTTTTCACATGGGCCGGCAGACGCTCGATATGTTGTTGGCTCCAACTTGACTTCTAATTCGCACCTAAGCCTATTCATCTCTACTCCAGTATTGACGTGTAGTTTATTTATAGCGTAAGCTGTTTGTGAAACTCTCTTTCTCGTGACTGACTTGGCACTTCTGTTAGCTGTGTCTGGTAGGGTTCTAAACACCTCAATTTTTAGCTATTTTGTTGGTGTCAGTTTGTCACGTACATGTATGTGAGTGTGTTGAGTGTACACAGTTACCCCGGTATATTCAACTCACAAGATGAAATTATCCTTTCTACACATTCTACACGGACAAAATGAGTCATATCTTTTCTCTATGCCAGTCCCATGGCCCTATGGTCTCTGATGAGATTACCAAAAGGTGTAATAGTTCTGCTTTCTGGCGAAGTACATATAATATCTGTGACGGCGTGTACCCACTTCAGCCCTTCACATCACAAGATGTGAAGATTATCGCTTCAGGTTTCATACCGCTGCTGGGTCTCTCGATGTGCTGCCTGCTTCTTTATCCGGTGGGAATCCTGCTACAAAACTGCTTTTATCACGAATCGAATTGCCAACTCCTCAAACACCTCGCCTGGGTTTTAGATTTTTGGACGCCCACTTCCACAGCTTTATCTATCTTTTGTCCCGTTCTTTTTCTGAAGCATCTCTTACGGGCAAAAGAAACGCAATGGATGAAAATGCAACACAAATGCAACCCCATAAAACCAGAAAAGGAAAATGTAACCCAAGAAGGGAACAAAAAGCGCTATGTGTGTGATGTCCTTGTAGCGCCACTCCAAAACTGCAGCATCACCTAAGACAGAATAAAATACAATCAAAATCATAAGAATGCAATGAATATAACTAAATGCGCACTCATATCACAACCATGGGGACGAATAATGTATTCCAGAACGTTTTCTTGTTACAATTATCAATGGAATTCGTGACTGAAGAGAATGATGAAACTACAATAGGATTTATACACTTGGAGTGGAACAGCGAGGATACAAGCATAGTAAGAAAAATAGCAGAAACCTAGGAACAAGTTGCACAGGTAATGAACTATAGGTGAGGTGAGAAATGATAGAAAATTCAGCAAGTGCAGTGTGACAATGGACATGCATGTGCAAGTGTGTGTGAGTGCGAATTTACTGGAATAGCGTAATTGCGGTGACATTTTCTTCATCAAAGGAACTAAGACAAACACCACCTCACATATGCCTCTCCACAACAGCCAACTCTGAGCGCGCATTTACTGGACATTGGCATGCGGAGAAGGGAGCCGCTGATGCACATTAAGGGATCTCTTAGCAGAGCGAATGCTAACCGAGTCCGGATAGAGCACATCATTTCTCCATACTTCCTGTTGTTCTTGCCAGCCAGCATACCGCACAAACTCTTGAGAAATTGGCTGGTTTCTTGCGACGTACATCCGATCGTAGAGAGGATGAGTCGGCCATCGGTTTGCAGGTAAGTTGAAAACTTGAAATCCTGAAAAACACATTAGCTGCACGCACAAGGGATAAGGCCAGCCATTCGCTATCACTAATTTTCTCTTTTACTCTCATGTGTTTCTAATTGTCTGCATCCAACCCACAAAGACTCGGAGAAGTAGGGCAGGATGAGCTGGTATTGATCCCAACACCACTGTAATTGTGCTGCATTCACAATACTTGTACATATTTATTGTACATGTACATCCATATAATAATCTGAAGGTTTGTTAGGTTTGTGAAGAACTTAAAAATATTTTATGATTCGTGTTATCAGAAAACTCTCAATACATTCGCGGACACTGCTAAATAGGCTGGTTTTTGGTCAGAACTTATGGACCGAAATCATTCCAGAACCCACGGTTTGGCTGTTGAAGTGACTTTTTCTGGCCAGTGAATCCCTATTTTTCATTTTTCCATTTTTCTTTTTCTTTTTTTTCTTCTTTTTCTACACACACACCACACCACATACTCCGGCATACACTGGCTGTTGGTAACCACACAGGAGAATTAAAGAAAAGTCAGGAAAAGTCTGAGAAAGAGAAGAAAGACGTGTGTGACCATAATCGTCGAGAATCGAACCCGCAACCTATCGATTGGAAATCGCTGCACATACCACTGCACCATATAGGACACACACACACACACACACACACACACCCTGCAATTTGTCCTTCTCATTTTTCCATTGTTCGCTTGAACTCGAATGGTGAGCTAATTTAATTATGGATAGAAAGAAGAAGGACAAAAAGGGCACGAGTTATGACGATGATGTCAGGTCGTTGATAGTATCTTTCCAATTGGTCCAACACTCAGTGTGATGATGATTTCTAATTAAACCGGCGTTAAAATCCTAAAATATTGTTTCCTTGTTCTCGTTGTATGAGGAGTGCACTCACTTTACTTTCATCGATATTAGGTTTCTTGTCTCCACGGCGACTATTTAACTTTATATATACAGGGGGAAGTGGTCCCGTCCACCGCAAAAAGATATATCCGCTTCGCCAGAGATGAGCCGAACAACACACTGAAACCAGTGGGAAGTAATTTGGTGCGTTTTCAAAACTAGTAGCTGACGGCGATGTAGTAACACGTTGGATGCAGTAGTCAGCAAAGGTCACTCTGACACCTGATGAAAGTGATATATTTTACAAATATACCCAATGCTGTAGGCAGCATGCTGTGTCAGTTATAAAGGCCTCCTCAGCGGCGTGAGTTGCCAGCCATGGTGCAAAGGTGACACCACAGACATCTTGAAGAGACCTCGCTGCTCTATCGCCAGCGTGCTCAAACGTCAAACTTATGGATATACTCAATTTACGAATATACAAAACTTCCAAAACAAACAGTAAGACCTTACCAAGACTTGCAAATAGTTTAAACCGAATATATATTATATTAGAGTGCTTACCTACGTAACGACATCTCTCCTCCTTTTCTTCTCCATGCTCTCTCAGGCGACGAGCGCGTGGAAAAGAAGAAGAAGTAAGCTTGTTAAATCGTTCATTGAACAGCCGAATGGAATCGCTCACAACCTTTTTGAAACTTGTTTATCTGCGATCACAATTCCCAGGTAAAAACATTATTAAAAATGGCATGAGTGGAGCATGGTGATAGTTAGATAATTATTATGTTTGGTACCCGGGTTAGTAGCGCTCTATCGCACATTTTACAAGCCAGGCAGCTAGACCATGGCGGACCAGGTCCGTGAAACGTTGTTGGTACCTAAATTACCAGAGGTAGATGTAGAACAACAACGCAAGTGGTGTTGGGGTGGGGGAGCTGGGTGAGAGTCCTACCGTGAGCGCTGTATTTTAGCAGCAGTCCATTGCATGCAAACGCATAAACACACTTGAGAGGGATCAAAAGCGTTTCTTCTGTAACTCTGAGTTTCACGGTCTTAACCGATCATCAGACAGCAACTTGACTACAATTTTCAGAAGATCAGATTGATATAGGCTGCAAGCTTGGATCATAGCTTGGATCAAACACATGCATGTACATATATGCATGGCTACGTTTACAGTTTACGGTAGTTAGTGTGAAGTGCCAGTACACGTACATGTAGTTTACGTTGCATGCAGCTAACTTGATTCTCTTTGACAATCGCGAGCAGCAAAACATTTGGGAGCAGTAGCCGATAGTAAATCAATATTAAAGGAGAATTATAATAATTATTATGGTAGGTGTGCATTGATACCCGGGACAGCAAACTTCCACGTGGCCGACCCCATCTCAGATGGATTGACACTTTATAAAATTAATGATATAAAGCACGCCAATATTGATATTGCTGACTGTTTTGAACTGGCTCTAGACTAGAAAAACGGCTGTTCCTTGTGGAAAAATGTGCTGCGCTTGCGTAGTTGTTATTACTGCGATATGTTCTAACATTATTGACATGCCTTTTGTTGGCTTTTGTCTCTCTTCTATTTCATTGACAAATGCGTTAAGCCCATGAGTGACATACGAGTTATAACTAATATCATTATTATGCGCAAGCTTCTTTGAATTCTTGTGTGATGTGCCCTTGGCTTGATTCTTGCCCGAATCGAAGAATAGCAGAGTATACAGAGGAAAGTGAACAAATAAGGAGGTGAATGATGACGATGATGGAGGAGGTGAGGAGACGATGTCGGCTGCGAAGACCGTGATCAAGTGAGCAGTGCCGTCAATTGCATCAAGATCCGTGGTTTAGTGTTGTGTGTCTAGCTCGTAATTTCCATGAATCAAATATTATAAGAACCTGTACTCATTCGCATCCGACAACCAACTTTGAGTCTTCATAAAGAGTATGTCACCACCCTCTTCACCTAATTCGTACCCTCACCTGGTCAGTTAGTTGTCAAAGTTTCAACTTCTGCCCCTGTACTTTATCTTTTTTGGTTCTCTTAATTTTTCAATGATACCTGTATGCTGCTAGATTGAGTGCTAATTCTCACTGTTCTCTATTTAACATTCTATTTATTTATTTATTAATTAATTTAGACAACATTTGTTTACTTTCCTGCATATACATGTACACGTAATCTGCTCGTCTTCCCTTATTATTATTATTTATTATTATTATGCACTTACGCGTCAATGTCAGCGGTGGTAAACCGCCCACAAATTTGCACGTGCTGAATGGACTTGGGAATTGGAAAATGAAAAATAAAAATAAAAAGAGCAACGACAACAGAAATAGAAATACAATACAAGACGTACCTGCTAAGGGGCACATGACAGCATTGCTCAGATTGAACAGAGGACGCAGACACAGGATAAAGGGCATTGTCGACTCCGTTTTGAGAATAATCCAGTAAAATGGTGGCAGGTGGATGCAAATCCACGCACTAAGTTAAGAGAGGAATTTTGTTGGTATTTAAAAAAATGTTAATTACTATTACCGCAGCAGTTATGAAAAGCAGTACTGTGATATTTCGGAGCAATATTATTTGGTTTTAGTCGTAGACGCCACTATTGGACTTGCAGACGTCCTTGCAAAGGTCCTTCCACTCCCCTCTGCCCTGTGCAATCTCCCGGAGGAAGAGGAGATCAGACAACGTCTTGAGTCCCCTCCGCCCCACTCTCTGCAGGTCACGGGATAGCACGATAAGCAGAGTCATTCTTGGCCGTCCCCTCCACACTGTTTCCTTCACCTGGTAATAGTTAATCATAGCCGCCACAGCAGGACATCCGTCAGGCATGCGCAGTATATGTCCAAAGAGCCTCCATCTGGCTAGGCGAACAAAGTTAGATATCGGTTGTGCTTTGCACCTCTTGTAGAGAGCAGCATTGCTTGTAGTTTGTGGCCACCTAATACCGATGAGACTACGCACCTGCCTGCGGTGAAACGAATCCAGTTGGGCCTCGGCCACTGAAGTGGGTGCCCAGGTACCGCTGTTGTACAGTAAGACTGGCATCACGAATGCGTTGTACAGCCTCAGTCTCATTTCCTCACGCACTAATGTTCTCCGCTTCCAAAGACTGTACATTGCTCTGTAGGACGCTGTGGCGAGCTGTTTTCGCCTGGTGATGTCTTCGTCGTCACCAATCACAGAACCTAACTTTTTCGTCATTCTCCATTCTTCCGAGACTCGATCCTGCTGCCGGGTGAGTTTTGTGTGTTCGTCTTCTCTGCGTTGACATGGAGATTCCATTGCCTGAGAACTGTTGCGGCAAGAGGTTCAAGCTGTGCTAGCCAAGCAGATGAGGTACTGACAAAATCGGTGTCGTCCGCGTAGATGATGTCGATTGGTAGAGTGCTATCTGCAGGACAGCGAGGTGGGGCTGTGGCGAGGACATCGCGCAGTGCTGCGTCTAGATAGACTACAAATAGCACAGGGGAAAGTGAGTCTCCCTGTGGAGTGCCAATTGTTGTGTGGAAAGGGGTAGACTCAAAACCTTCAAGTCGAACACTCAGCGTCGTGTTAGCGATGAGCAACCTTACCAAACGTAGGTCATCCGGAAGTAAGAAGGTCTCCAAAACGGCCAGAAGTCGGTGTCGCTGAATGGTGTCAAATGCTTTTGACATGTTTATACCGAGAATTTCAATGACACACTTATATTTCTGGACTGTTGCTGCAAGCCATTTGTGACACCAAACTGCATCTGCCGTTGATCGTCCTGCCCGGAATCCACTCTGGTTGTCACTGAGAAAGGTATTAACTCTATGTGAGATGCGTTTCAGGGTGAGAAGTGACACCGCCTTCCTGAGGGCAGTCTTCCCTGGTGTTTTGATTATGTTGTACTCCAACTGAGGAATATCACAAGAAAACGTTCTTGGAAACGTCAAACCCACCTGGCTTGCAAGTGTGTGGGTCATCATGAGTGCGCCTGTCATACCTTTCCTAGCTCTACTCAAATTGCATATTACTTTTTTGTCAGCAGACACATAGCTTTCCCAGGTTTTCAATGTATATGCATATTTGTGGAGGCGAAGCAATGTCAAAAACACTACTACAATCAATCAATCTTTACTACTACTAACACGCACACACTCACACACACACACACAAACAAACCACACGCGCACACTATCTCTCTTTCTCTCTCGCTCTCCCTCGCTTGCCAGCCTTCTCTCATTTTGAAATTCGCTTCAATAGCATTGGGCAGCATTGCCCTTTTGGCCTTGCGAAGTAAAAAAAAAAAAAAAACAACAACAAACACAGAAACTATTTAATTTCCCGAAGGCTTATCTTCGTGTGTCGTCCACTGTCACTCGATACCCACATATTTTACTTGGTAGCTAAACAAATTATAAACAAGTTTGGGTTTTTGAGTTGGTTTAGCTACACGGCATGAGCAGTGTTGCTAGCAAGTACACAGACAGTTATTGGTTGCGTGTAATAGTGTAGTTACCATGATTTCTGTCGTGGTTGTACACATAGTGTGAGTGGTAGTGACAACGAGCCAGTAGAATAAGGGTTGGGTTCAAACATATTGACAGATTGAGACACGTGACAAGACTCATACATGTGTACATGTAAGTGTATAAGATAAAGTCCTTGATAGAACGTCGAATTAGAAGACATATGTGTGGCATTCAGTTGTTATGACCTATGGGGGGAGCACGATGCTCGTTAAACACTATCGCTGACAAGAAAATGGGTGTCTGTGTGTTGGTGTATGTTCGTGTTAGTGTGTTCACAAGGTGCGTGTGCGTGTGCGTTTTGGTGTAAGTCCTTGGTTGTGCGCTTGCGTACAAGTTAGCGTGTGGGGCCATGTGCGTGTGTGTGGTTTGTTATGTTCCAGGGTAGCAGTTGGGCCGGTGCGTCATTTGGAAGAAGCGCTGCTGACGGGAGATACGCTTGTCTTCTCCATTAAGCCCAGCACACACATGATAGAATCCATGAAGTGCTCCATGAAATCATCACTGGGAAGAAGGGGATTTTCGTTGAGGTCATCATTCATAAAACCGCGAAGCGGGAATTCGAACTCTCTAACATCGATCGAAATATGTGTGATTGTGAGCTCATGGCCGCTATCCACTTCCATCAGCTGGTACAGTACAGCAAACTTCACGATCCCAGTACATTCGGATGTCTGTGTACATTCAGCAGCAAATGAACTGCAAAGACAGTCATCCCTAGTCCAGTAGACCTCCCCTCCTTGTGCAGGATTTAATCGGCAGAAAAATAATAATATATGCATGATGTCTTCTCTACTGGACACTAGACCAGATCGATCCAACTTTCCGCGTAGCCATAATGTAGTGCCAGGATGGATACAGTCACGTGACAGCGTGAAACTGGTCGGCGTGAAGGACTGGTCGAGAGTAATGTCGTCTTCGTTGCCATGGATATGGAGAAATACGGCTTTTTCTAGGCCTAAGTGGTAGAACACCTCCTGTACTGGACCCGGCATGCGTGTTATAACGGGATCCTCACAAATACTCTCTCCAAGCTCGGGTCCTGATGCAACGGAACCTTCGTGACCAAGCTGACTGACAACGCCAGTCAGCACAGATCCAGTCGTGTCCATTATGGTTGAGAATCGAGCAACATAAAGCTTCCGCGAATTATTAATTAATTATGAGCAAGCTCCATATACTTGTACTTGTAACTGTAAGCCGTCGGAGCACTTTCGATATTTCGTGTCTTGCAGAGTACTACAGTCGCAATAAAACGAACATGCACTTTCCTTTTCCATAAAGAAATACTTTTCAATAAAGAACTGAAGACTCATCTGGATGTTCAATTTATGCACGCACACGCTGTACGGTTATGTTGACTGCGGGAAGAAAAGTGACAAAAGCTATCGCTGACAGAACCACAACATCCACAGTAGGGGACTATCAACAGATATCCAGCTGACACGCGACTGTTGTTGTATTATTATTATTCACACATCGACATCGAACAGCAGCACATTAGCAGTTGCAAAGTAAGCACACCCTGGTCAGACTGTCTGGAGTTAATTCGTTGATGCCATCAGTTCAGTTAGGCCGTTCAGCCTGAGTTACCTAAAGTTACAAGCTTCTGAGGTCGTCAAGCAGTTGTCTTGTGGAGTAGGCAAATTTCAGATGGCACGTTAGGCGCTCCAAGTGATTTTGCTGGCTGTCACTTGGCTTCCACGTCACACCTTTGTCTATCTCTACTCCAGTATTTACACAATCTTCTCCTATTATCGCCGAAGTCTCACCAACATTATCTCCCTGTATTTACGTGTACTTTATAGCGTACCTCTCTTGCTCCTCGTGACGGACCTGGTGCTTCTGTTAGTTTTGTCTGCCACAGCTCTACCCTCTTGTGTTGCTTTCAGTTTGTCACGTACATGTACGTGAGTTTGTTGAGTGTACTTTGCTTCGAAATAGTTGGAGTAATCAGCACAACTACATTATACGTGTAGAACTACATACAGTTGTACATGTTGTTGTACGTGATTGCACATTAATCATCATACAAGGTACGTTCGGGCCTGATTGGAAATTTTTATTTCCATTGCTATCAGGTTCGGCCTCATTTCCTCTGTGCTGCGCTGACGAGTCCACAAAGGACGAAACAGTTCTGTCCGCAGATTGGTTAATCATCATACATGTACATGGCCCTGTAGATTGCTCCAAAAGGCGAGTTTATCAATTTATTTCCGTTGCGTGTTGACTTTATAGTTCTTTTCAATTGCAAAGTGAAGTACGGTTACCCTGAGTTTTTGTTGCAGTAGTTGTTGTCCGTCGAATTAACTACTAAGGCTCCTTTGATTGGTCCTGCTCGTTGTCTCGTCTATTTATGGTTGCCTTTGAAAGGGCAAGAGGTGATTAGAGCTGAAGAGCAAGAGCTGAAAGTCTCAGCTGTGACTGTTGTCCGATGGTTTTGCCAGTATCGTCATCGATATGCATGAACATCCGCCAACGTCGACTTTCAGCTCGTGATTATCTTGCTTGCGCTCGCCTTCCCCTTCTTATGTTATTTCTATAACTTAGAAACTTCCAAGTTGGAATGCTGTTGGAGTGCGCATCCAAGATGTGCTGGAGCTGTGTGCCAGTTAGTTGTAGAACGTCAGTACCGTCGGTCAGTGTCGTGCAATGTTATCGCATGCGCTGATTGTTTAGTAACTGGTGGTGTTAGTGGACAGTATAGCGTAACTTGTAGTTCCTTGGTCTTTCTCTATTGTATAAATTAAACCTTGGCTCTCCATCTGAGTACATCATTTTTCAACATCATTAATTAAAGAATTTATATCTAAAGAGTGAATAGCAACAAAATAGAGTTGTCAGTTGACAAACTCCCTTTTATATACCACACAACGTTACTAATACTAATACTAACACATCCGTAGTCCAGTGCTGTATGGATGGGGTGCAGTTAATAGAGTCCGGCGGATTCTGCCGGGAGAAAAATTGGCAGAATTCGGTACTTTATCTGGTAAATTTCATGCTTGTTTGGTATGTGCATAAAATAATGGAGCAGAATTCGAGGAATAGCCCGGCATAAGGTTTGTATGGTTCTGCAAATTTCACTGCCTTTCGAGCAGAATCTGCCACCTTTTCGAGCAGAATCCGCCACCTTTTCGAGCAGAATCCGCCACCTTTTCGAGCAGAATCCGCCACCTTTTCGAGCAGAATCCGCCACCTTTTCGAGCAGAATCCGCCACCTTTTCGAGCAGAATTCGCCACCTTTTCGAGCAGAATTCGCCACCTTTTCGAGCAGAATTCGCCACCTTTTCGAGCAGAATTCGCCGGTCCCTAGCAGTCTAAAATACATTCTCGTGATGACGTGTTGCTGTGAACACACAATCATGACCAGGTGAACATGATAGAGAATGCATGCACAGACAGTTGCGAATGTGTCCCATGTACTTGTACATAATCATGTTTGTGCTTCTAGAAGTTTGAGCACTCTCAGCGCTAGTACATCGAGCTGTCCTAATGTCTTTGGTTCTCGTAGCCATGTCTGACAGTTCAATCCCATTTTAAGCTCGGAGTTGAACTGATGAGGCCTCATTGGCCGAAACAGTCTGGCTGTCTGCATCATTGATTAATCATTTTTGTATGTTGTTAGCGCTAGAGTGTAATAGCAGGACTGCGTTGCTCAACTGAACTGCTAGAAGTGCGCGTTACAGTGTTGCAGGCGTCTCCGCG